GCGAGATGCGTGCAGATATCGGATGCGATGGGGATCGGGGTCGGTTGCCGGGGTGGCTCAGCGAGATGAGACCACAGCGCGTCACTCCGAGAAACGAGGGTGAGTCGATGTCGAGCTGCGAGATGAGGTTGCAGCAACGCAGAGCATCAGCCGAGTCCTCTGATGACTGTGGACTATGGCGGTATATGTAATAACCCTCGAAGAGGAAATAAAAAAAGAATGATAACAGGCCAAAAGGGACGTGGCGCCTGAAGATTGTCGAGTGAAGCTCTTCGGATTCGAAAAAGCACGAGAGGCAGCGACTATAAGAACTTGGAATGGAAGGCCCTCGATGCGACGGGCTCCACAGGGCAGGAGAAGCAGTAGCGGTACCTGTAATGAAGCAGAACCGGGAAGAGTGAAAGCCGGTGCCTGCTGCCACGACCCTTTACTGCCTAGTCGGGCCTAGCGCGTGTCGTACTCTGAACGAGAGGGTCGTTGCGCAAGAGCGACCAATGCAAAGGTACCTTAATTACAGACAGTTGCTACGGAGTCCGGAGTGCAAAGAGATGCCTAGGGCAGAGTACCATGCCTTGGATGAGCATGTAGTACTGTGCAGTACATACAGTACCTAGGTACATACACGTACAGCCCCGTAATTACGGCCGTACACAAACAGCAAGAAGCACGATTTTGATTGATGCCACGCATACCAGCTGCATCCACTAGTCGTTGGTACGAGACAACGCGCCGCACTGCGAAATGCAAAAGACACCATGATACATAATACTAGCAAAAATAGAAAAAGCAAAAGAAATAAAAATAAAAAAGAATAGAATTAAAAGGTCCCTGGTGGCGGGCTCCATCGCGCTGGAGCTACGGGATTGAAGCTGGACCCGACAAGCCTAGCGCGGCTGCGTTTCTCTGGGGCCTGGCGACATTGAAACGGTTGCGCGCTAGAAGCTGGAAAATAGGAGGAGCAGGCCAATATTGGAGGTGAGGCGGTTTGTAGGTGGGGCTGCTCGCACGATACAGCGCTCTCGTACGGGCGTTTCTCGCTTAGACTTGGGGGGGAGGAGGTAGAGGTACAGATACTGTACATCTTCATCAGGTAGGAGAGGACTTTGTACTTGCAGCATCGGTATCGCTTCGTTGCTCTGGTGAAGAGGAGCGAATGAGGCTCTCGGTGTTGAAACTTGTCTCTCCTTTGTGCAATGGGCCTTTGGGTGCTCTGGATGAGGGGTCTGGCCTCGATCTCCTGGGACCGTAAAGCCCCTGCATGGACCGCAGGATACGATACAAGCCCAGGTACGACTCGCGATATCATGGAACTGCAACCCTTGGGACCATGGGTTGCTCTAGGTACCAGGTATTCTTCATGGTACCTTAGTAGTACAGCTGTTGGCTGTATGAGCATGTAATTTGACCTGCCGGAATCAACAGCGAATCCCAGCACTATCCGAACAACTCGGCCGTGCCCAGCAGGGACCGCAACAGGCCACTACCTCACTACCTCAGCTCCCGCAGGCAGTGGTGGGCATGAGATGAGCTGCTGTGCCCGTTCTTGTACCGTGCTGTTACTGGGTTGTTACAGCATGAGGCTGCAAGTAGTACTATCAAGACCTCTCACAGCATCGCCAGGATGAGACCTCTCGATTCAGGTTATCTGCCAGGGTAGCACATGTGTGAGGTACTCGGACGAGCAGAAGCTGTATGGATCCAACGTTGTAGGATCTCAGCCATGTCTCTCATTCACGCCTCCCAGTCTCTCTCCGAGGCTATCGACATGAGAGTCTAGACACCTCGCCCTCAAACCCACAGCCAAACGCACCGTCAGCAGCGCTGCAGTGGCCCGTCCCAGTGTTCAGCGTCGATATGTGTGCGAGTACGCGTATCTCGAGATTTGCGAGATTCCTACAAGTACCCTCAGGTATTGTGAATGAGTCGACATTGTGAGCAGCTGGTGACACCCGTGCAACCGGTCCTTTTGGCGGGTAGATGTCTCTCTTTCTCAGCGCACAGGAGATGGCTCTCTGTTTTTGACTTGCTACGGTGGTTTAAAGGCCGTGAATGAGTCTCTGACGCGCACATCGAATCCTGCCTGCACATCGACAACCATCAGCCCAGCGCGCATCCGGGTCCAAGTGCCCAGATCGCAGCAATTACTACAAGTACTAAATGTTTGCCTGTGCAAGTACAGATACATGCGCGATACAGGGTCGCGCAGCCACGGGCCTCTCGTGGGCATCGGTCGCTCCCTGTCGGCGATCTGGACAACCTTCAGATTCACTCTTGGAATCATGGAAGCCTGCTGACAGGCAACTGCGTCGTCGCCTCACGCATTGTTCATTGTTCCGTTGCTTCTCCTTCACCCCTTGATTACTACCTTGACTCATTAATTCGTCGCAACGACAGCCGTCTAGGTATTTTCATGCCTGGAGAGAGATACATTGGGGTACCTTGCTGTTTACGGCTATCGGCACCGACTCCTCGTTTGCGCATCATCCATCCTTACCGGGTCACTCTCCGACTCCGAATCCCGGAGGCTGCCACGATTGCAGCAACCGGGGGGGGCGCTTCTGGAAATAGGGCCTTGTTCCCAGTATGGTTTCCGATTCGAGAGCTGACACAGGGGTCCCAGATCGAAAGATGGAGTCGTTATGCTCCTGGTACTATAGTTGGGTCAACAACGGGCAATATCTGGCAAGGGCATCACCAACAGATATTGTTCACACAGCTAGAGCTCTGATTAGTAGGTAGGTACGTGACTAGTGGAAGTCTCTGGATGGCCATGAAGTAGGTTTCTCTTGTCAGACTCTAGCATATTGGTTGATAGCTACTCCTACCTCAATATGTAGCAGAAGGCAACTGATCCTCAAATCAACGTCATCTGCTGGAGGTCATCAAGATGGCTCACAACCCCTCGCACTCGAAAACAGAGCCGAAATCCAGACCGCCAGTACCAACAGGAGGGGCGCCATCCCTTACTTGCAACGGCCATCCACTGACTGGACGAGGATAAGGGGGAAAGATCAAGAAGCGGCCAGAAAAGCTTGTTTATGTGCCGAAAGACAAAGTGGATGGTCACATCTCCCCCAATCATGTTCTGTATGTGAATCAGGCAGACGCTTGTTGGGGAAAAGGGCTAATCTTCATCGATACAGTCATCGTACAGATCTGATGCAACTGTTCGGATCAACGTCAGCTAGGTCGGGTTCCGGCGAGTATTACTCGTGATATGCATCATTACAGTTGCACTTCATAGGTACAGAAGGGAGGGGGAGGAGGCCTGGATGGAAGGATTCCGCTCCGTTTGCCTTCGTTTCCAGTCGTTTGCAGTACTCGGTTTGGTGCCATGGCCTCCCGCGTCGCAATTCCGAATCCCGGCGCCCTTTGCTGAATCCCGATATTACCACTGAAATAGTTCTGGAGAAACCAACTGTGCCTGCTTAGGTACTATGAGAGAAACAAACTTCAAACCGCCAGGATAGCAATAACAGATTGAATTCGAAGATTCTCCTCATATCATCTTTCATCTTATTGTCGGACTTTTCGTACACTCCGCTTCCCGGAACAGGTTTGCCGCGTAACGAAACCTACATTCTGCAGCGTTGCTTCAAGTGTGAGGTGTGTGTAAGTTGCATGTGGCGAGACGCAAACGCAGGTCGTCATCCTTTCGACTGCAATGAGTCAAAGCCGACCAACATGGAATCCCGGAGAAGGGGTTGCACGGTCAACCAGCTGGACAGGTCGCTCGCCATTGCGTATATTCCCTGCTGCGAGCGTATTGGGTGGGAACCCTTTTTCATACTTCGTACAATGTACATGTCAGGCATCAAAGCGTGGAAAATAGGCCGTTTCAAAGGCATCGGCCCCGTCCGAGATGGATCGCTCATCTGGTTCGTTTGTGCATGTACATCCGGTGCTTCAGCCTCGCCGGCTTTAGCGTAATTAGACTGCAGACTTTCAGGCCATGGTCAGGCTCCTTCACGGCCCCATCCGGGCTTTTGGCGTGCCCGCTACCTCCGGGACGGGCTCAATAACTCCGAGTTTGGCGTTGGCCATGCCGTGAGCTGGCTCGGCCGTGGTGTTGCGCGATCGGTGTGGCTCACTCGGCCAAACTTTCAAGAATGCTGACAACACCAGGCACCGTCATCGAATCTGGAGTTTCCAGAACTCCATATGGTTTCGTGGTCTAGTTGGTCATGACATTTCGTTAACAACATCTGTTGACACCACCGAAAAGGTCCCCGGTTCGAGCCCGGGCGAGATCATCTTTTTGCCGCGCTTGTGTAAGGTACCTAGGTAGTGACGATTAGCTTCAATGTACCTTTACTCCTTTCTCGTCCAACTCATCCTGTTCTTCCCCTTGTGTTTGATTTTTCTGCCGTCATATTACAGGTCTGAATATGCATGCATGTTACCAATCGCCTTTCACTCATACTAGGGAGCTTCATCCAGCCCGTAATCCGAAGTTGGACGCCTAATGTCACATTAGCTACCCAAATTCTCTCACAAGTGATGACAACTGAAACTGGGACACGGCACATAAAAGGGGCCAGTGAAGAACTTGTTAGGTAGAACATATCATCGGGGCGCTCAAAACTCCGTCAATCCTGATGGATAGGTAATGTTACCCCTGAGATTGGCGGGATTCGACTCCCACCGATCTTTCAACCGATGAGGAGCACGGAATTCGGCTGGTTGTCTCTAAAAAGAAGCTTGACTGCCTAGTTGCGGTGACGGGCAAGGGACTAGGTGATGGGTAGAGTTGCTTCAGGGGATGATCTCGATTATATTGTTGCCTGCTCGCAGGTGAGTTGCCCAACTCATTGGAAAAGGGGCTCGTCCCACCTGCTGCCTGTACATATAGCTACAAAAACGTCGATTCATCAGTAGAGAGGTATAGAAATGAATTGCTCCGAATCCTGGGTCACGTCTTCTCAGAGAGACACAACGAAAACCAGAGAGGCACCCGCTGCAGACAGAGTAGCCAAATTCCCCAGCCGTTGGGCCATGGCCTAATGAAAGTGGATGACAATAGTTGCAACCCCCTCGCGGCTGCGCTGAGCGGAGTCAATAATGTCCCGAACAGTCTCGTGCAAGCTGTTCCGCTCAGTCGGCCGCTCCCCCGCAGGCAGCGTAGGGGGCGCAAAATCCTGATCTCGGCTTTCGTCTTGGCGTTGGCTTTGGCTTTGGCGACTTTCCCCGAGCGTCTGCTGCACATCGTGAAGAATCTGAGCCCTCAGATCCTGCAGATCTTGTCGGGATGCCATATCCTGAATCGGTGGCTGGAATTTGCTATTCAACTGTGCAGGCTCCTCCTGGCGCGGTGGCTGTGGTTGCTGGAGTTGTTCGTGGACCGAAGGCATGCACTCCTCCGAGTCCACCTGCGACTGACCATGTTCCTGTTGGCACTCTCGAAGTTTAGATTACGATTGAAGAATCTCACTCGGTAGCTAGGTAGTAGAAAGTTAGGTACTTACCGACGTGTCATCTTCTATCCGACTTTCAGGCCCCGTGATAGGGGCAATTCCAGCGAGTCCCTGTCGTACACGTTGCCTTTGCTGTTGTTTGGCCATGTAGATGGCTCCCAGTGTCTTTTCTCCCAGATTTTTCCAGTCATTCACCTGATATAGTCAGCACTCTACAGTAAAATCAGACTCTCATTTGCACTCGATGCCTTACCACCTGTCCTTGATAGCGCTTTATAGTGGCCTTTTGAAATTCTCGGCCGAACGCAACAGCGTCGGATGGTAGCTAGGCATCAAGTCAGCCAGCGGTTCATAAAGATGCAAGACAATGAGGCAAACCTCGCGGCATGGTGACTTCTTTGACGAGCACTGAAAGCACTTTGTTGCATTGCGACCTGCAGCCATATGTCAATAATCAAACAAAACATCACGCGCCGGAGAGCTCAAGAATGCATAGAGTGTTTGAATACGGGTCGACTCACCGGTGTGGCTGTAACATGGTTGATCCTGGCTCTTTGGGTCGGACGTAAGGCGCCGGACGCACGTAGCGCAAGGAGTATGGCGTGGCTCGCCAGCTTTTTCACCTGGATGGTTGATCGCCGTACTCTCGGGCTGTGCGGACTCGCCTCTTCGCCCGGCCTCGTTAATCACCACGAACCTCGACATGGCTACAGATTGAGCCTGGCCGTGCAGCCTCAAGCTTAGAGCTATGCCTGATAGAAGGGAACGGTTAGTGAGGCTCTAGACTCCGAAGAGAGGAAATCAGCACGAGAGGCACCAAGGTGGCTAACCTGGATGGCGCCTTCGACAGCCTTGAATGAGAGTGCAAGCGGATGGTTGCAGCGACAAATGTGCTCTTCTGAGAAATTCTTTGGCCGGGTTCTTCAATGAATTTCAGAGTGACAGGTTGCGCACGTTGCGTGAATTCACTGCCATCTTTGGCATTTGTATCGGATAAAAATAGATATGGTGCGAAGGAGTGACTGGGCCATGACCAGCTGAGTAACTACTATCGCGGCAGAAAACAAGGTGAATCATCAGAGGCCATTCTAAGCTCTCAATTTCCATGTAACCAAGAAGACTACTACGTAAGTAACATTACATACCTACTAAGATAATCTAATCGATGAGTGTGGAGGAAATTAGGAGACTACCTAGGTAGGTAGGTATGGATAGACCGTAGGGCGTGTGGTATGCTCAATGGCCTCTACAGTAATGAGTATCAATATACGTGCTTCAACCTTATCCACCGTTGAGACCGGGAACCTCTCTTTCTTAGCCAGCCTGTTCCATATAATGCTCGCATCAGATGTGGGCATTTTTTGGCCTCTTGATGATGCCATCGAGGCTCAGCCTTGCCGCGGCTGGGCTGGGGATGTCGAGATGCCTCAAAGTCCTAGATTTCCCAATTGGGGGCTCTGGACCAATGGCGTGGCCCGATGCGCGGCGTTGGGTGAGGGGCAGCTGCTAATGCCTGCCGCGACAGGGCCTGAAGCCGTGATAGGTTGCCCTGTCAAGGGGGTTTGCTGTCTATCAGATCTGGCTCTGCAGGCGTCGATTGCATCTGTCATATATGGAGACTAAGGTGCCTAGTTGTTGGTTCAATGACACTCTTAGCATACCTTAGGTGCCTTTTTAGTGTAGTAGAACCGACTTCTGGCGGAGAAAATCGATGATTCCAAGAGCATTTGAGCTTATAAACTCTAAACGCCCTCGACGTCATTTGATGGCTCGATAAGGTCGCCCTTGCCAAAGCACACGCCCCACCCCACTAAAATTCGCTTCCGCCCTTGGGAAAGAGCCTGGCATATGGGAATAGCGTGGGTGAGTAATTCTCTACCTACTACCTACTACTACTCCAAAATGCTGCTCCAATCGCAACTTTGCCGCCGCTCGGATTTTGTCTCTTCTTCCATCGCAGCTTGAACGGACAATCTCTTGCTCTTTGGTGCTCAGTCGCCCGTCCTTCATGTCGCAGCAACGCTTATGAGGGCTTTTTGTTCTGCCGCTGGCCAGATCCAGCGAGCTCCCGTGGCGAGCTTCGTCCGGCTTGCTCGCCACCGAGGACGCCGAATTGCTTGGGGAGCGCAGTCGCGATGCCTTGCGACGGTAGCCAACAGTGCTGAACCAAAAGATCTCAAGACGCTGGCCTGTAAGACGCCTCGTGAGTCTGTTTGCGCGTGTCGTGTTGATCGCTGACAGTTGTCTCAAACAGTGCCTTCCACCGCGCGACACAACGAGGTTGGAGTGCAGCAGCTCAGCGAATACATTTTTAAACGGATATTTCCCCAGGGCCCCAACCCACCTCCCAAAGAACTGGTCGAGCTTGCACAGGATCACTTGACACGGCACGATCTCCTAGGAAAGAACACAGACAATTCCGACCCTATAGCGTTCGAGCTGCCTGAACTCAAGGGCACAACCCTCGACGAACACTTCCACAAGCTTGGAACCGATTGCGCCGAACCATATCTGCGGTTTGCGAAAGAGTTCGCTTGCGCCAGTATCCCTCTCAAGCCGAAACAGTGGGTGCGACAGAGCGGATGGACCAAGTACTACCCTGATGGGCAGCCACCCGAGAAGGTCGCAGCGCCGGATGAAGAAATGCTGTGCTTCGACGTCGAGACGCTGTGGCAACAGCATCCGTTCGCAGTCATGGCCTGCGCAGTCAGTCCCACGGCCTGGTACTCTTGGTTGTCGCCATGGCTGCTGGGCGAGACGGAAAACAACCGACAGCTAATACCCATAGGCGACCCAACTAAGGATCGAATCGTTGTGGGACACCACATCGGCTACGACAGGGCAAGGATATTGGAAGAGTACGACCTCAAGCAGACGAGGACCGGCTTTCTCGACACTATGTCGCTGCATGTCGCCGTCAACGGCATGTGCTCACGGCAGCGCCCAACTTGGCACAAATACAAGAAGAATCGTGAGGAGAGGGAGAGGATTGCCAACAAGGATCCCGATCAAGGCATTATCGAGATTCTGAGCAACCGGACCATGCACGACGAGGTAGAGCCGTGGGTTGAGAAGAGCTCAATCAATTCACTGCGCGACGTCGCCAAATTTCATCTAAACGTCACCATCGACAAGTCTGCCCGGGATGACTTTGGCGAGCTGAGCCGCGAGGAGGTTCTAGAAAAGCTGGATGAGCTTCTCGAATACTGCGCTGCAGATGTTTCCACTACCCACCAAGTGTACTCAATCGTCCTCCCCAACTTTCTGAATGTTTGCCAGCATCCAGTCAGCTTCGCTGCCCTTCGGCACCTGTCATCTGTTATTCTACCCGTCAACGAGTCTTGGAACGCATACATCGCCAATGCAGATGCGACATATCATAAGCTCTCTGCATCGGTCGAGGAGAGACTGAAGGGATTAGCAGAAAAGGCCGCCGAGTTGAATGACGATCCCGAGGCGAGTTGGAAAAATGATCCCTGGCTCAGGCAGCTGGACTGGACCACTAAGCCAATTAGAATGGTCAAAGGCAAACGCAAAGGTGAGAAGGACAGGCCAGCTGCAAACCAGAAGATGCCGGGTAAACCAAAGTGGTACAAGGATCTCTTTACCAAGAACGTCATGAACTTGACGGTGCGAACCCGCATTGCGCCTTTGCTGCTACGACTTGCCTGGGACGGTCATCCGTTGATCTGGTCCAACAAATACGGCTGGGTGTTTCGAATCTCGCCGGACGATGTGGCCACTTACAGGGCGAAGCAAATGTCAGAGGTTGTCTTTGATGACTCCGATCCTGCCCTGCGGGACGATTGGGGGCACTCATACTTCAAACTTCCTCACAAGGACGGCCCTACTGCTCGCTGCGCGAATCCTTTGGCAAAGGGATATTTGAACTACTTCGAGAATGGCACTCTTTCGTCCGAGTACGAGTACGCGAAGGAAGCGCTGGAAATGAATGCCTCGTGCTCCTACTGGATAAGCGCACGCGGTCGAATCATGTCGCAAATGGTCGTGACCGAACACGACGTCTCCGCGGCCACTGCAGGAATCACAGAGGCGCAGGAAGCCCCGGAGAAGTTTCAGGGCTTCATCTTGCCTCAAGTCATCCCCATGGGCACAATCACTCGGAGAGCGGTCGAGAAAACCTGGCTGACGGCCAGCAATGCCAAGAAGAACCGCGTTGGATCTGAACTCAAGTCCATGATTAAGGCACCCGATGGCTACTGCTTCGTAGGTGCCGATGTGGACTCGGAAGAGCTCTGGATCGCCAGCTTGGTAGGCGATGCGACCTTCAAAATCCATGGCGGAAACGCCATCGGCTTCATGACGCTCGAGGGGACAAAAGCTGCGGGGACAGACCTCCATTCGCGAACCGCGGCCATCCTCGGCATCAACAGGAACCAGGCAAAGGTGTTCAACTACGGGCGAATTTACGGAGCGGGATTGAAGTTTGCGGCCACGCTCCTGAAGCAATTCAACCCAAAGCTGTCCGACAGTGAGACGCTGGAGATTGCCAAGAAGCTGTATGCCAACACCAAAGGCACCAGGACCAGTCGCAAGACCATCAACAAACATCCGTTCTGGAGGGGAGGAACAGAGTCGTTCGTCTTCAACAAGCTGGAACAGTTTGCGGATCAGGACTGGGCTCGAACGCCCGTGTTGGCGGCAGGCATCACACAGGCCCTCATGAGCCGCTTTGTGAGCAAAGGCAGCTTCTTGCCTTCCCGTATCAACTGGGCTATTCAGTCCTCGGGCGTCGATTATCTGCATTTGTTGATTGTGTCGATGGATTACCTCATCCGCCGCTACAACCTCGATGCTCGACTAGCCATCACCGTTCACGATGAGATTCGGTACCTGGTCAAGGACGAGCACAAATACAAGACTGCTATGGCACTGCAGATAGCCAATCTCTGGACTCGCGCCATGTTCGCTCAGCAAGTCGGCATCGACGACCTCCCCCAGTCGTGCGCCTTCTTCTCTGCCGTCGATATCGATCACGTCCTTCGCAAGGAGGTGGACATGGACTGCATCACCCCTAGTCACCAGACTCCTATTCCTCATGGCGAGAGCTTGGATATCCAAACCCTTCTTTCCAAGGGCTCTGAGGCGCGTTTAGACCCGTCTACGGTCCCCAATCCCAGGCTTGCCCCTAAGCTCGATGATATACCCTATGAGCCACGCACTCCTGTGATGCGGACGCTCCAGGGGCACTCTGAGGACAATATCGCGTTCATCAAAGCCCAGATCACCGACGATGACCAAGAGCTGCTGAATATCGTCAAGGACCTGCGCAAAGTGAATCCGCCGCCGAAGACGCAGACGAAGACGGTTCTGTTAAAGAGTCCCCCTGATTACGGAAACTCGTATGGTATGCCGCTGGGCACCCCTAGGCCGCCCTCCGAGGCCTTTGGCTTCGGGTACCAAGCTAGCAAGAGCCAGAGAAACATAACATGGCCGAAGCATTCAGTCGATGTCAACTCGAAGCCCAGCGTCTCCACTGGCTCTTTCTAAAACTTATTGTACGATACGGGTGTGTTGACGATATAAAAGCATGTACAGTAGTCTGGTGTTACAATTTTTGCTGTTCCCTTTATCCTGGGTCATTGCTGAAAAGGTTTGGACATTATAGCTTGGAGTTGGGTCTATGTACGGAGTCCAAGCAGCAATCATGTAGTCTTTGGGGCGCGGTCATGGATATATGGCGAAAACGGTCATGTAGTTCTTTATGCAATTACTATCATGATCTAGGTATATTGTACGAAGCCCGTTTGATAATCAGCTGGTGATAAGTGCCAAGTGCCGGGATACGAGAAACATTTGGCGTTACATTTTATACCTACCTAGGTACCTACAGAGCATTTTCCCCCAAGGCTGCAGGCCGTCGCCCAGTCGGATTTCGAGCAGCAACCGACGTGCATGAATTGTTGCAATGAAGCCGTGAGGGGTTCGTTCCTTTGACCGACCCGAACCATCATCACATCAGACGAACTCTCATCACTCCGGACCAGACAGAGGCATGGCTTCATCTTCGCATCAGCCGTCTACGAGGCTGCAGCACAGGGGCAACATATATTCGCAGCTCACCAGCAAGCAGCAAACCGACCTGTGCGCACAGCTCCCTCTTCAATGCCATTCTCTCGAGACTCTCCAGCGCTCAGGCGTCATCCTTGACACCGACTCTCTTCCCCACGACATCATCAAGAAGCAGGGAGTCAACAAGACGGACTTTCGCCGAACACCACCCGGGCGCCCTCTGATGGGAACACGAAACGCCATAGTCATAACCTGCCAAGCGGCCGAGACTCCTGACGGCGGAATCGAGCCCGTAGGCATTTGCGTGATTGATTTCTTCACGGGCCGGATATTGCTGGATTCGTTCATCGCTCCGTCTTGCGAAATATCGGATTGGAAGACGGACGTTCATGGGGTGTCTGCGAGGACTATCGAGACTGCTGTCAAGGGGAATAATTGTCTGCAGGGCTGGCGAGAGGCGAGGACGAGATTGTTTGAGTATGTCAATGCGCGTACGATTTTTGTAGGATTTGGGATTGAAAGGGAGCTGCGGATGTTGAGGGTTCTACATAAGGGGATTGTCGATGCACGGATTTTGGCTATGGAGGCTTTGTTTACGGTTGCTGAGAGGGCGAGGGGTGGGATGAAATGGGAGTGGGAGGTTGATAGGGTTTGTATGGGACTACTCGGGATGGAAATACGAGGGGGCGCAGTGATGGGGAGGAGGGTGTGTGATGATGCTTATGAGGATGTGCTGGTGGTGAGGGAGATTGTGTTGCGATTTTTGCAGAGGCCGGGGGATGTGGTGGCGTGGGTGAAGAGGGAGAGGCTGGATATGTTTGGGACTGCTGTCAAGGAGGAGCGTGACGATGATGATGATGCTGCTGTAGGGAAGAGTGCAAGGAGAGCAGGGCAGAGGACGAGGAAGACAGGACGACAGGGAGGGTCGAGTGCTAAATCAGAGGCGAACCAGAAGACAAAGAAGAGCGGCAACAGGACGCAAAACCAAGCAGAGGTCTCCAAAGACTCTGTGGTGCAGTCACTGGGGAAGTTGGATATTGGGGAAGCATTACGGGAACCTCGGGATGGAAAGCAAAAGGCAATTGAGGCAACAGTAGGTGACGCTATTCATGTCGAAGCCCAGTCGAAGAACAAGGACAAGAGCGGAAATGGCAAAGCCAGACGCAAGACGAGGAAGCAGAAGAATAAGAAGATGGAATCGGAGGCACGAGAAATGGCAGAGAGGGAGGCAAGTCTAAAGGCAATGGTCCGAGAAGAGGAGCGGAGTCTCTTGACGCGTGGGAATGGCAAACAGAGCGCCAGAACAGACTGGGAGACGAGAAATAGGGCGGAGAGGAGGGCCAAGTGGGTGGATAGTCAGCGAGATGATTGAGTCGAGTTTGTATCAAGCCTCGAGTTTATTATTGAGAGAATATGAGTAGGTAGATGGACACGGTGGGTTGTGGTTGTTTAATACCTCTCAGTAGGCACCTTATATATAAAGTGGTTTCTTGTGGGACAAGCATCCATTTTGCATGCCGCGTTTGCGTGTCCACAAGAGATCGGCTCAGAAACAAGCCTTTGTCCGATTCTCTGACACGGTTTCGGCAATCTTGAATCGTAAAGGCGAGAAACGACTGGTGTGGTTGCTGATCTGTGTGTGTGTGCTGATCTACCCTGCAATTCGAGTGCAGAGGTCAAACCTGATTAACATTCGCCTGGCTGCCGCTGTTGATGCTAGACATTGGTTCCCATGTCATGTATGAAGCCAAGAACGAGGTAGGTAGTTTTATTTCAACTTTGATATGTATTATCATATAATTATTCTTCTTGCAGACATATTTATATGTACTTGAACCATATTGACTTCTGCTTACCTGTATGTATTCAGTAGTATCCTGGGTCCATTACCTAGTGTGGAGTACTAACAGAAAGCCGAACTTCTTATAGTCTTCGGATCAAAAGTAATAGTATACCGAGGTATCTACCTACATAGCGACACCGAGGTATCTACCTACATAGCGACAATAACAGGTGCTTGGAAATTAGAGGTAGGAAGAAACTTTACTGCGTCCATCTCAATTCGCAGCAATGGTACTGGTAATACAAACATCTGCTATATGGCTTTGCTGGTCGTCCTCGTACATACATAGGTACCCCTCAGGCACGGCTTCACTGGTCTGCGCTCCCCACTTTTGGCTGTTGATCCCCCTGTTCCAGTGACGTCTACAGCGTTCGCCGGTTGAAGAGGGGCAGAAGCTGGGTAAAGTGCAAGGCAGGTCACTCGGTAGCTTCGACGGAGGGCAGATCCTGTGATCTGTTTTCCTCTTGTCCCATCCATCCAACCGGCTGCAAACAAACCATCGATCCTGTGCTTTGTCCATCTTTTTTCTTCTGTTTCCAACCGCCGCTCACCGACCGAAGCATCAGCAATCCCGTCTCTCGCTGCTCAGCCACCGCCCAGATCAACCAGATACAATACTAGACAGATAAAACTATTACTGCGACAAGACACACTTTCCCACCATGGCGACGACCGACGAGATTGTCAAGCGGCTGCAAGAGTCTCGCCCGCCGGCAACCGACGCCGCCACCTATCTGACCATTGTCGAAAAGTCCCTGACCCCGGAGGCGCTGCCGGCGCTGCAGGAGATCCTAGAGGACGTGGCGCTCACCACCGAGATTGGCTGGGACCTGGTCGACATGCTGATTGATGTCCCGGGCAGCGAGGAATGCCTGGAGAGCATTGCGCGCCTGGGCAATCCGCGGGAGGTCATCCTCAAGGTGCTCGAGGTAATGGAGAAGACGGCCGCGGCGGGAGAAGAGGAGCATGAAGCAGGGAGGCAGCGAGATGAGGTAAAAGTGGAAGATGAAAGTGACAAAAAGGGCAAAGAGACGGAGACAGAGGAGAGCTCCGCAGCCATAACCACAAAGGGCGAGACAAAGGCCACCAGGAATTTCGTCACCCTCTGTGGCATGCTGGGCATCCTGCTTAAGAGGCTGCAGGTCAAGGCCCCGTCACGCTTCCTCCACACCACGCTCGAGACGGTACAGAGATGCTACGACGCGACCAGCGCGGCCTCTACCGCGGCCGTCATCTCGCTGGTCCAGAGCCTTGCGCGCAAGACGCGGCCTCCGCTGCCCTCTCGCAAGTCGAGCGTCAAGCTGGACACGCCGTTCCAGGACAGCGACCCGGCGAAGCAGGCGCCGGACCCCGAGGCGGAGCGCTCAGATACTCTCAACGAAGACGAGCCGCAGCTCATTGCCAACCTGCTCCAGTCTTTCATCACATGCATTATCGAGGCGTATGTCAACTCCAACGGCGTGGAGTGGGCTTCAAGGATGCTCGAATACACGTATCCGGAGCGCATTGTGCCCAGGCGGAAGACCATGATTCAAACGTTCAAGGAGGTGGTGGAGTTTCAGGCAAGAGACGCCCTTGTAGGGCAGCTTGTGGTGAGTATAGCCCCCGGAATCCGGGTTGGATTTCACATGGGAATGATCCTGTGGCCACACAGCTAACCGCTTCATCCCTTATTAGGCTCTTGCCAGTGACCTTGGACTGTCGAAACTGCCCTCTTTCAAGTTGAAGGAGTACCTTGAAGGCCCCGTCCACCGACAACCGCTCTCTATTGATTATGACCCGCAGCAGCCGGAAAAGCTCCATCTCTCTACAGGCGGTCTGATATGCTTGAACGCATACTGGATGTTTGCTGCTGATGTCTTCGATGCGGACCGTGGCTTTCCAGATGAACAACTCATACCGCAATACATGCTGCCCGACCACCAGACCCTATTAACAAACTTCCTTGGCAACGAGCCGCAGGGGCAAATCCTCGCCAATCCTGGAACAACCGAGGCCCTGATTGTCATGGCCATCTGGCTCGACGGTCGGAAAGCGATATCGAACCCGAAAGGCGCTGGTACTACCGGGGGATTCATGCCCTACCACCATCTCTTGACCCTGATCTCGGCCTTTCACCCCAACCTTCAGGTTCGCAATGCGGCAACCGTTGTAGCAGGCTACATCCTGCACGCCGACCCCGAAGAGGAAGACCGACTGGCCATTCTGGAAGACATGCTGGAAAGCTGCATCTTCCCAACCCTGCAAGCGTGTGCAGTCACCTGGCTTCGAGAAGAGATCATCGCCGCGAAGAGATCCGGCTCGAAAGGTCGCTTCTCCAGCCCGGACTGTCTCGAAACGATCCAGTATACCCTGTTTCCCGATCTGTCGCACCTCAAGCAAGCCGATGCCTCTTCGTTGCACAATTTCTGGGCGCAGAGCGCGCCGCTGCATCTGCAAGTTGCCAACTTCGCGCTGTTCCTGTTCGGCGAGGACTACAAGGCTCTGGCGCCCGTAGGTATGGCCGCGGCTATCGAGCATCGCTACGTCGAGCCGCTGCTACACGCTGCGAGGGCGTTGAAGAAGGCGGTTGCGGACAAGGAAGTTGAGGTCAATGAGGAGTTCTTAATGCAGCTTAGTATTCTGGAGGATACTCTGAGTCGGATATCGCTGCAGTAGAGATGGGTTCATACGTGACCAGGCAGGGAGCAGATGTGACATGAAGTCACACTATAAGAGGTGCTAGCGAAAGAAACAAAAGCGACGAGGAATAAGCCTGGGGTCTGCCGGATCAGACAATGTGTGACCATTCGCAGCTCGACTGAATATACATAGTGTCATTGATATTCTAATTTACACAAGTCAGAGTAGGTAATTCTCCCATCATTCGTAAGTACGTGTCTTCTCCAAGACGTATGTGTGCCGTGCCTCTATGTGATATTAAGGTGTCTGTACGCCTGTCGCCTATTTGCTTAAAAACATCATGATGAGTACAAGCTTTTCAAGAAAACGGCATGGTTAATGTTAGTCTCAAAAGTGGTTGACGAAGAGAAGAATGCAAAAGCTCCTTCATCGTCGATGGTGCCGGTCAGAGTCGCGATGTCGGTCCCTGTGCCTATCGTGGTCCCGATGTCTATCCCTATCCCGATCCCTATAATCGCGATCCCTGTCCCGGTCTCGCTCCCTGTAGTGATCCCTCTCGCGATCTCGCTCGCGCTCCCTCTCTCGTTTATAGCTGTCCTCATGCCCCCGGCCTTCCTTGCGCTTGCTCTCCTCCCTCCGATACTCGCTCAGCCGCGGCCTCGACTTTTTCTTGCCGTTCTGGTTCCACCCGCCGAGGTCCTCTTCCTCCTTGAGCTCCTTGGCGCCGAGGCCGAGCCTGTTCTGCCGCCTCTTGACCTGCTTGACCGGCGGGCCGCGGGCTTCCCCGTTCCAGCCCATGCCGCGGAGGAGGGCGGCGCCAAACTCCTCGACGGGCATGTCTTCGTAATCCTGGAGCGTGGACACCGCGCCGGAGGCTTCGACGTCGCGGCGGTAGGCGTCGTCTTCTGATACGGGTGCGGAGATTACTTTTTTCTGTTCCTTGGGCGTCTTGCCGAGGAGCGCGTCCATGGCTTCTTCGTCGGCGGTTCGCGCTGCTGGGGGCGGTGGTGCGTCATTGCCATCTGATTGATTTGATGGTTGCGTTTGGTCGTCGTCGCCTGGCTCTACATCCATCTTGTCCTCTGGCACCGCGCTCGGCTTCTCCTTCACCGTCAAGCCCCATTTCAGCGGCGTATCCAAACTCGCGGGCTCCGTTTCTGTCGTCACGGCGTCCTGCTGCTGCGCTCGAGCCTCGGCCGGAAGAAGGTTCTTGGACGCCCGCTGGCTCTTCACTTCGTCCTTCCAGTTCCTGTTCGGCTGCCGCGCAATGACATACTCCTTCTTCTCCTCCCTCGGCCGCTTCCGCTTCGTCTCGGCGCCATCTTCTCCAAAGCCCGTGATGGCCTCGTGCCGTCCGCGATGGTGGTGGCCGTCGTCTTCCGAGTCTGAGGCATCGGAGTCGCCTCCTCCCCCCAGGGCGTGTGGGCGCGGCCGCTTGCCTAGGCTTGAGGAGGGCTTTGCTGTACGTGACTTGTTTCCTGCTGCTGCTGCTGCTGATGACGATGAGGTGTTGGCCGAGCCAAATTTGATGGCGATGCGACCTTTGTTCTGGTCTGACATAACGCGTGGGAGGTTTGGTGAAGGGGGTTTTTGCGAGTTGGAAATTATTGGAAAAGGCGAGGCTGTACCGCCGCGAAGCCTGTGCTAGGATTGAACTTTTGGCGGCTTGAAAATGACGGCTTTGCGATTGAATGGTCAGGTACGTATCAGTTTCGCAGGCAACCACCAATTGGGTTTAGCGTGTAGGCTCGGGGGTACGTACCTTGTGTTGGTACTACCTACTACCTTAGGTACCTGTATCTCGCAGTCGGGCAGAGAAATGGAAGCCGCTTGTTGAAGTTCTGTTTGCAGTTTGGTGGGGGCGTGCGGCTGCAAGCGGGAGAGGAGAGGGAAAACAGAGAGAAGCAGATGTTATTATAGAGCTTGAAGATAGAGTGAGTTGTTCTGGGACTGAAACTGAAGTGAAGTAGCGCTCACTGTAGAATCGGTGAGAGATACTTGTGCATGCCACTTTTTCCCTTATCTGATGATGGTTTGCTATCGCCCTTTTAAGGTACTCTTGTGTTTCCCCGCGACGTGCTTGATTGACGCCTAATTGACGCTGTGCAGAAGACCAGATTACTGTACAGGCAATGGAGATTCTAGGCATCACTTCATCCAGCCAAGAAATATTCACATGCACTAGATGATTAGGGTCGAATAAGCATCAGACAGCCTACCACTAATTCACGGTCCAATTCACTGGCGTTCAATAACATCGCGAGTGACATTGCCGTCTTGGGCGAATTGAATGATGCATCATTGACAGCACATCGAAGCGGTGATGTACCGTGCCTGAAAACCCCGACCCGACTGTGCACTAGGCGCTCTGGGCGCTCCCTCTCCAGCGCATCCGCTAGCGAACGCCCCAGCGAGCGCCCAGCCAGCGCGCGCCCAGCAGCTGTTAGCGGCTAGCGCACCCCGTACAGTGCGCCGTGGCTGCCAGCAGAGCACCTCCGCCGTCTTCCAGCGCTCCTCCCCCCTGCCAAAACCCCCGAATCGCTGGCGCCCGACAGATTTTGCGCCCTCGCATCGACCAGCGACACGTTGAGCGGCCACCAGACTTTTGTCGAAAAGGCCACCACCACGACCCTTTCCATCGCCGTGCATCGCGAGCCTCATCTCAGACGACGTCCCCGGCCATCCTCCGACATCCGTTTCGCCCGCAAACGGATGTCGCTCCCGCCGATGCTATGACGGAGGTCGGCCACACCGACCTATCGAGGCTGCTTCACTCCAAGCGACACGAGTTCAAGTGAGTTGCGCGCCCAGTCGAAAGAGCGGATTTTTCCGATTCCAACGAGGTGCTTTTCGCCGTGCTAACCCCCGACAGTGCAATCGTGACCTCGCGCAAGAGGAAGCTTCGCGAGTTCTTCGCCGTCACCAACCAGGTCGATCCCCTGCCACAGGATGCCTTCGCCAACCCGGACGCGCCCGCAACCACCGCGGCGGAGTGGCAGTTCTTGCAGACCAGCGAAATATTGCAGTTCGTATACACCTTTCAAAACAAAGCTCTTGTGCAGGCGGAGGCAAAACAAAATCAAAACAAAAAAAGCCCGTCAAGATTGTGACCATCGCGTCTTCGCGCTCCTGCGTGTCTGCCATGTGCCAAACCTGCCCCCTCCCATGAGGCTAACCTTTTCACAGAGGCAAGACGCTAAATGAGCAAGCCATTCCGCCACGGCCCTCGCTCTCGGTCGATACGCTGAAGCGTCTGATTTCCAAATCGTTGCATGAACTCGCCGCGCAGCCTGCTGCCCCATCTACTCCCACACTCGCCTCTTCCCGACCAAAGGAAGCCCTACCTGGTCCGACGAACGAAGCACGGCAACCTCTTGGCGCTCTGTCGAACGAGTCTGTCCATGCCCAACCCAGCAGGGAAAGCATCAAGCCAGCATCTGAAGCCCCGAAAACCACGCCGACGCCCCCGGCCCATTACACGAATAACGTGGGAGCAACCCCGGCGGGCGTCACTACAGCTTTTGCGCCAGCGAAACCCACGCAGACGCCTTCAACCGCTCTGGCTGCGAAGACTGAGACGAAACAAGCCGACCAACTTACTAATGGAGCGACGGGCGAGGATGTTGCGCCAGAACGAAGACCGACGCAAGTTTCTTTCCCGCCAGGTACCAAGGGTTCGCCATCAGAGGAACGATCCAGCCTTGTGGCTACGGCTGGGGCAGTGAAGGGCTTGGACGCTGTGGACGGTGTTGATGCGATTGACAAATCCCAAATGGCTCAGACTGGACGCAACCAAGAGCTCTCTATCAAAGTGCCGCAAGCCATGTCCAAGGTCCCTGATGCGCTTTCCTCTCCAGGCTCAACGGCACCGAGCGCGACAACCCCTGGGAATCACGATGTTTCAGCGGATACCAGCCCTGAGCACGATACTTCCCATTATGACGAGAGGACAGAGCAGGATGAGGCAGGAAAGGAAGAGCAAGGCCACCCAATTGACGATGCTGCTGGACAGGGGGGAGAGACGGACCAAGCGAAGCCGAGACACGACGAACTCGATTCAAGAACGGCCAGGGTGGACGAAGATCAGCTACTTCAAGACTCTATTCGGTCAACTGCTGCAGCTGCGAGCCCAGAGCCCAAGTCGCAGATTGGAGTCCCTATCAAGGTTGGCGAAACGGACGCCAATCGGGAGGCCGAAGTAGACGTCAAACCTTCAAAGTCTGCCGTAAAGGAGGTTCCCGACAGCCAAGAAGAAACGCCAGAAAGAATGGATGTTGATTCAGTCCAAGCCACAGCATCGGAAAAGGTGAAAGCACCCGCCTCTCAGCCGCGGCCCGGTCCCCCAGCTCCTACGAACAAATCCCCAGGCGTTGCCAAGGCATCGATACCGAGGGAGCCTGCTTCAGAGAGACCGGTTACCAGGGTGTCATCTGGTGCAATGAGATTGAAATCCGTATCCGAAATAGTCGGGGAGACGCCACGACCTTCTAGCACGACGAAGACGCCACAGAACCAGCTGACTCCCATGACCTCCACACCCCAATCACCCCCTCCGAGGCCAAAGTCCACGACCAAGAGAGAGAAAGCCAAAGGTCATGCATCTACAGTTTTGTTTGGCAAACAACCGAAGCAGATGGAGGAGAAGACGCTGGTTCCTGGCCAAAAGGAAACAATTCAACCCTCTGACGACTACTACACTCCCCTCTTTATCCAGAATTTCACAGGGGCCACCAACTGGATGCAGCCAATCGAGAAGATTCTGTTCCATGCGAACAAGACCATCGCTACCCCAGATGCATACCTCGCCATTCAAGATCATCAAGCATGCAAAGTACTCCGCAGGGTATACCATCTGCAGCAGCACGATAAATGGTCGCTGAGGCAGCCTAAGCGGTGCCCTGAGCCGACACGCCCGCCATCCCATTTGGACCTTTTGTTCCAGGAGATGAAGTGGATGCGGACAGACTTCCGGGAAGAGAGGAAATGGAAGATGGCCGTGGCCAAGAATATCGCCTACGCCTGCGCCGAGTGGGTTGAGTCGACTCCCGAAGAGCGCAAGGCGCTGCAGGTTGCTGCGTATATCCCGCCGCCGAGGACGAATGACGTGACTATGGGCGATGCCGATGCAGACGGTGCCGAGAACCACCCGATTCCTGAGCTCGTTGCGGAAGACGCAGATTCACCTCAGATGCTGGACCACCTCAGCGACGACTTCCCAGAAACAGTTGCGCCATCAGCCATCTTTGCTCTGCAGGAGGACGATGTTGTGTTTGCTCTACGACGGACACCCGCTTCGGACAAGCTGCTGGAGGAGCTGCCGCTATACGGCGCGCCTCTCAAGGTCCCGCGGTCTGATCTCACGGGGCCTGAGTACGATCCGGATGCTCACTGGCGGCGGCCGGCTTTGCCCTTGAGCAAGTACGTGGAGGGAGAGATGAAGCTCTTGTCCGATGGCCCGCCGCGCAAACGGAGCCGCTATGACTATCTCAACGAGGAATCCGACGACGAGAGAGAGAGCGCCTTTGACGCAGACACGCTCGCACACCATGCCCGGCTGCCGCCAAAAAGCACCGAGGTTGCTCTTTTCGCCCCAGAGTCGAAGCACATCCGCGATAGGCTGCACGCCGGCCATCAGTTCCGGCCCCCGTCCGAGCACCCCATGCCTCTACAGAGCTTCTACGAGTGTCGCAGTCCGTCCCAGTGGACCATGGTCGAAGATGATGAGCTTCGCAGCCTGGTACGGGACTACTCGTACAACTGGTCTCTCATCTCCAGCCTACTGTCTACGAAGTCTCTGTTTGCGTCGGGCGCGGAGAGGAGAACGCCGTGGGAATGCTTCGAGCGGTGGATCAATTTGGAAGGCTTGCCAGCCGATATGCAGAAGACACAGTACTTCAAAGCCTACAACAGTAGAATTGAGGCTGCCCAACGTGTCATTGCTCAGCAAAACCAGCTGGCGGCGCAGAGAGCCTCCCAGGAGGGAGGTGCAGTGACACCCATACGGCGAAGGCAATCTACTCCGTTGAGAGTCGAGAGACGTCGAAACCAGAAGCATCTGACGCTCATTGACGCCATGAGGAAGCTGGCCAAGAAGAGAGAGACGACGATGCAAAAGCAACAGCACTCTGCCGCCCAGAACGCGGCGAAGAAGGTTGGTGACGCGATGGCTCAGCGACCGGGGAAGACTCCGAGGGAGTACAGCCTGCTGCGATGGGAACGCGATCAGGCTCTTGCCAACAAGATGACGCAGTTTGCCCAGCGGCAGGAAGCTCAGCGCCGGGTAAGTGAAGAATGACTGGTAAACCTCTTGTCCCGACAATTTGTGCTAACATGTATCCTTCTATAGGCTGCCCTCCAAGCCAGAGCCCAAGCCCAATCCGCCCAGATGGCGGCAACACCAGGCGCAGCAGTGCCGGCCGTTCCAACCCCCGGACTTCCTGCGGCTGTCGCCAACGGCGTCAATGGCGTCAACAGAGCCGGTGTTCCCAACCAACTAGCCGTTGCAGCAGCAGCCGCAGCGGCAGCGGCACAGGGTCGAGCACGCATGCCCATGCAGGCTC